AAGCCTCATCAACAAGAGTTCTATACTCTGAAGATGTAAAACTACTGTTTCAGGCTCTCTATACTACAGTAAACGAGATTGGCGCAAAGGCTTCTGCATTACAAGGCCATGATATTACCAAGTACTTGCTAGAAACAGTGAGTCTCCAATGTGCGATTTCTTGAATTCTTTTGTTGCAATGTTGTTGCTATTAACAAGTTGATGTTCAAATTGCAGTGGCTAGATATATTGAGATGCTACTTTGTAATAATTAGTTGTAACTCTTTTTGAGTAGAGGCCGGGATATTATATTTTATTATTAAAAAAAGATATATTGAGGTGTATGATAGACTGAGGCAGAATGGCAGAGGAGCCAATATGTGCCAAAGTTCGAAGAATACATGGAGTGTGGTGTGACCTCACTCACGCATGGAGCTACAGTGATCTCGGGAATGTTTTTTATCGGAGTAAAGCTCACGGACGACATAATCAAACATCAAGAATACAACGAAATATTTAGGCTGGTGGGCACTTGCGGCCGTCTCCTGAATGACATTCGAGGCATTGAGGTACTTTCTCTCATATTTTTCAAAATTTTATTAGAAGATAGAGTACATTCTCATCTAATAAACTGCATCTTTTTTTATAAATAACAGCAAGCAATTTTATCAGAAAATTACATTCTTATCTAGCTCCCTGCCCATGTCTGGACCCAACAAGCTAAAGTTCTAATGCACTGATTACATATAAAAGTTATTTTTTTAAAAAAAAGTACTTACCTGTTACTTTTATAAATAGTAATTAGCCGCTGCCTTGATTGAAAGCGGTTAATTTTGACGAAGTTTTGCTGCAAATTATTTGCTGCAGAGGGAGGCGATGGACGGGAAATTGACAAATGGTGTTTCACTACTTGCTCGTGAAAGTGGTGGTTGCATGTCCATACAAGAGGCTAAAATGGAAGCGCAGAAGCGCGTAGACAGGGGCGGATCCAGGAAAAAATAGTAGTGGGGGCTGAACAAATTACGCCAGCATAAATCGAAACATGTCTCACATGTAAATTGGCTAAATGTCAGTTCAAGGTACACATTGAATTAATGATATGTCGAGAATTTTGTCCATACCAAACCAATATCGAATAGATAACGTGTCACACCCAATCGTCTATTATTCTTCATGAGTAGTAATTTATACAAAGAAAAGGGCAAATTAACGAATAATCGAAACATACTTATTTTGGATTCAAATAATTTAGAGATTTAGGGAGGAATGGAGGCATAGAGCATACCACTAATTTCTGTTGAGGTACTAACATCTGACGCGCTTTCATATCTTCAAATTGTTGGATGATTTTTTCATCCGATTGAAAAAACCCTGACTTGGGTTTCTTTGGCTAACTTAAACACTCATTACTGGATGGAGGATCACTTTACTGGATGGAGGATCACTGCCATTTGTGTTGCTTAAACTAAAATAATACGTGAGCAATGTTCTTTTTGACATGTTGACAATCTAAAAATGTATAGAAAATAATTATAAGTTTCAAGCACAAGTGCACAACCTCATTAAGACACAATTTTAGACTATCTATTAGTATTAGAGGTTACTAGTTTACCGATTTCTAACTTCAAATCTTCAATCACAGTCACAGTAGGCTGCGACTGCGTCGTTGACTCGTTGCTGCCTTGCCGGCCACTGTGCCGCTGACCTGCTGCCTGCCTGCCTCGGCGCCTTGCGCCCTCGCGGCACCTCGCTAGCGAGCGGCTCGCCACCTTCCCGGCGGCGTGGCGGCGCAGGCGCTGGAGTGCTGGACCACCGCCTCCGCTTGGCCTGCCTCCTGTCTGGCCCATCGCCGGCTCACTGGACGCCGCCACGGTGCCGCCTGCTTGCCGCTCGGCGCTCGCCAGCTTGCAGCTCACCGGAGGTCGCCACCTGCTCCGGGCATGCACTGGACCACCGGGGCACCGCCTGGCACACCTCCCGTCTGGCCCCTCGCCGGCCGCCGCCGCCTGCTCGGCCGCCGCCCGCCGCCCGCGCCTATTCGCCTAGGGTTAGGGATTTAGGAGAGGAGGAGGTGGCCAGTGGGATTGGGGAATTGGGGAGGCGGGAGGCCGGGAGGGGGAGTAGCCAAATGGGCCGGCTGGAATCTGCCACCGTGGGCCTTTGCTTGGAGTGGGCTAGACAAAACTTGAAGACTGCGCTCGTGGTCGTGGGCTGCTCTTCGAAACAAGCCCAAATCGCGAAATAACATCGTCTTCAACCTCCAGCCTTCCCTCCAGCCAACCTGACGAAGCTCCAGCCACCACATCTCGTGAAAAATTTTAGTGGGGCTTAGGGGGGTCTCCATGGACCCTGGGGCGGTAGTGGGGTCTCAAGACCCCCCCCCCCCCCCCGCCCCCATGGCAAATCCGCCCCTGCGCGTAGACACTGCTAGGAGGAAGCTGTTCAAGTTGGTCCTTAGGGAGGGCGCTATTCCAAGGCCATGCAAGCAGTTATTCTGGAAGATGTGCAAGAATCTTCACTTGCTTTACTATTCCCATACCTTACCGTACGGAATCAGGATATAATCCCTCCGTTTTTTAATAGATAACGCCATTGACTTTTTCTCACATGTTTGACCATTCGTCTTATATTCAAAAATTTTATGCAAATGCATAAGATATAAATCACACTTAAAGTACTATGAATGATAAAACAACTCATAACAAAATAAATTATAATTACGTAAATTTTTTGAATAAGACAAATAGTCAAACATGTGAGAAAAAGTTAACGGCGTCATCTATTAAAAAACGGAGGTAGTATATGTTTTCCTCATATACATGGGACCGCAAGAGCACGAGAATAATATGCATATGCATATGTATGAATAAGATTGTCTAAATATCCTGCAGTTGCCCAAGAATTTGTGAGAAAAAAAATAGTGTCACTTAAGATAGTGGCAGGGGCAAATCCATCAGCTAGGCTCTCCATCATACTCTATCCCACCCCTGTAATTTTTGCAGAAAGTTTTTAAGTATATATCTGTTGACAGTCTTTATATATCAAATCTGACCATCAACTCCTACATAAAACTAAATAAAATGGAATAGCAAACTTAGTGGTAGGTTTTATTAGTAACCATTTCCACGAGTATGGTAGAATATTTGTATGCAGAAGATTTTGGATGAAAATACACCCGTCATATGACGAAATACATCTCTGGGCAATCATACGTGAGTACACGGATTGAAAGACCCACAAATCAATGCAAAACCAACATAATTGAGGCCTATCTACCATGCACCGTCATAAGGGCCCACTCATCATACTCTGGGAGGAAGTCAGTGGGCTAAGACACGGTTGCCCTAGTTCAGCCGAACCAGGGGTGGCACCCCTTGCCACCGCCTTCCACATGGTGTCTTCCCATTGGATGCTGATGACGATTTGTGGGTGAACCGACCCTAGTAACCGCCATTATAGCTGCCATTTGACATTATAAAAGGAGGAATGAACTTCACTCTCAATACACACTACTCAAGTGAAGATCTCTCAAGTTTCATTCAAGACTACTTTGTAATAGAAGTTCTTGTAAAATGTATACTATAATGTTTGCTGCACTAAGTAAGAACTGACTTTATCAAAAGATAAAACAACAACAAGGAGCTCCTTTTTCAAATGTTGCACTATTTTAACTGAGATCCAGTCCACATTTTACTAGCATATGCGATAGCATAGTATTTCTTACTTTAAGAATGATCCTAAAAGTATTATCACTAGCATTGCACATGGTTTCAAACGACAGCGACCAATCAGTACGTTGGATGATTAGTACTGACATGAGAGCTTTAAGGATATTAAATGAACTCAATCACTCAACATTAAAGGTAAAATGAGCATCCTTAGCTATAACAAGCAAGTTAGGGGGTCTAGCAACTACTCCTATAAGACTAGATAGTAGATGCAGCTAGAGAACTGACTTAGAATGGTCCAAAGTGTAATAAAAGGTAATCTTACTAATCCAAATTAAAAATATAGCTAGAGGGTGTACAAAAGTACAATTAGCTCTTTTTTTTTCTTTTGCAGTTAAGAATGGTAAGCCAAACCTGCCCTTAACATTCTCCATGTATCTTCACCAGATAAGTAGTAGAGTGAGACTTACAAAATTAGGTTATAGGTTGTTTCTAACTCTCGCAATGTATAAATAATAAGCTAGAACCCACATGTCGAACAATAGTTGGTTAGAAAGACAATAGATAAGAGAGGAGTGGATTTTTTTTTCTGATACTAGATAGTACTATCGCAACAGTGCTATTGCTTAATGGATTTACTACCTCCTATACTACTTACCCACTCCTTACTATCAACATTTCATATATCTCTACTCCTTTAAAGAAACTTTAATGATGGTGACAGTGAATCTGTCACCCCCTTACTTATAGATGGCCAAATGGGCCGTTCGGCCCGGCACGGCCCAAGATTAGTCGGACCGATATGGCTCGCTCAACGGGCGGGCTAGGCCGCGCCAGCCCACGTGCTCCACCTACGGCCACGGCACAGTCCAATAAGGGTCAGGTTGTGCCGGGCCAGGTTGTGCCGAGCCGGCTTGAAGGCACAGCAGCTCATCGTGCTTTCTTTCATATAAGTCTATTTTGCCTTCCTCTTCTTTGGGTTGTGACATATATATATACATATATATATATATATATATATATATATATATATATATATATATATATATATATATATATATATATATATATATGTATATATATATATATATATATGGCTAAAGTAAGTCTATTTTTTGTCCCTCCTCTTTGGGCCGTATCTTATACATGGTTAAAATAAGTCCATTTTCCCTCACTCTTCTTGGGGGTCGTGCCATACATATGGCAGAAAGTAAGTCTATTTCGCCTCCCTGAACTTCGTGCCATGCCGGGCCACCATGCCAAGGCAGCAGCCAACTGTCAAACTGTGCCAAAGCGGGCCGTCGGACCACGGGGCATATAGCCATCTATGCCCATACGTAACTTTACATGTTTAAATCTAAATAAATAGCTTCATATAAAATTAAATTAAGAAGAGTCTTCCCCTATACGAAAATATGGGTAACATATTTCATAAAAAAAATATGTTTTTATTTATTTAAGAAAGTATTATGATTTTTTTTACCCGTAACAAAGCAAGAGCATTTAGCTAGTATTATGGACGCCCTTAGTGCTCAGTCAATCACCACACAGCCATTTCTTTTTTATTCAGGCCGGTCAAAAGGGGTTCAGGAGTTGGTAGCATCACTAATATGCTCTGTTCGTTTGGGCAGGTTCCCAACTCCTCTTTCTTGTTTTCCGTGCGCACGCTTTTCAAACTGCTAAACGGTACGTTTTTTTGCAAAAAAATTCTTTAAGAAAGTTGCTTAAAAAAATCATATTAATCTATTTTTGAAAAAAAATTAGCTAATACTTAATTAATCACGTGCTAATGGACCGCTCCGTTTTTCGTGCATAGGAGTTTGGTTCCCATCTCCCCCAAACGAACAGGGGCGTGAACAGTTGGGGCATGTGGCATCGTCTCATCTTTCCGCGGATCGCCAGCACAACACAGCCATCGCGCCCCCAACCGCCGTCAGGCTGCTAACATGTCAACAGCTAGCAACCTGGCACCACAAAGCAAAGCATATCATCCGTCCGTCCGTCCGTCCATCCACGGCTGAGGAGCGCACGAACCGACGAAGAAAAAGGGGGCAAATCGCAAATCCATCCATCACTTTGCCGCCGCCGCCGCCGTTTCCTCCTCCTCCCTTTCCGAGAGAGATGGGGCGGCGCGCGCGCTGCCTCTGCCTCCTCCTCCTCCTCCTCCTCGTCGTAGGTGGCGGTTTCCACGTGGCCAACGCGCAGGCGTCGCCGGCGCCGCCACAGACGGGCACGAGGGCGGTCAACCGCGCCGTGTCCACCGTCATCACCGTCGTCATCGGCGTCTTCTTCGTCCTCGTCTTCGTATGCGTCATCGTCAACCAGTGCTGCGACTGCGACTCCTCCGCTGGCGCTGGGGCTGGGCAAGGGCAGTCGTCGGCTGCTCGGCGCCGCCGCGGGCTCGACCCGGCGGCGGTGGCGGCGATCCCGGTCGTGCCGTACGCGGAGGTCAGGAAGCACAGGAGCGGCGGCGGCGGCGCGCTGGAGTGCGCCGTGTGCCTCACCGTGTTCGACGACGGGGACGACCTCCGCCTCCTCCCGCAGTGCTCCCACGCGTTCCACCCCGACTGCATCGACCCCTGGCTCGAGGGCCACGTCACCTGCCCGCTGTGCCGCGCCAACCTCGAGAAGCAGCCAGCGCCGTCGCCGCCTGCCGTGGAGTTCTCCTCCTCGCCTGCTGCGGCCGCGGCGGCGGCGGAGGAGTCGCGTACGCCCGAGGCCGCGGCGGTGCGGGTTGAGGAGGTGGCGGAGGCGAGCGACGAAGAGGAGACGAGGAGGAGGGAGGAGGAGGCCGTGGAGCTGGAGAGTCTGCGCGCCGTGCGGCGGGCGGCGAGGATGCCGAGGTCGAACTCGACGGGGCACTCGCTGTGCGCGCTGCCGGCGCCGCGCGCGCCGGGGCCGGGCGACGGCGGTGACCACGAGAGGTTCACGGTGCGGCTGCCGCCGCACGTCCGGGAGGAGGTGCTCAAGTCGAGGCGCCTCCGGCACGCCACGAGCCTCGTCCTCGGCATCAGGGGATCGAGCCGCGAGGGCAGCTCGAGGGGCGGCGGCGGGAGCTGGCACGGCGCGCGGCGGTGGCCGTCCTTCCTGGCAAGGACGGTGTCGTGGGCGCGCGGCGGCGTGGGAGCGGACACCAGCGCGAAGGAGACGCCATGCCGTGATGCGGTCTGATCCGTGCAAAGCCGGCGAGATTTTGTGAAAAAAAATTTCTCTTTTTATGTAGAGGAATTAATTTAATTTGTTCGCGTGCGAAGGCTGAAAAACCTTGTACATACACCAGGTTGTTTGCCATTTGAAATTATTATAATTTTGCTTATTAGTAGTAATCGCGTGCACGTAATGTACAAACCGTGGCAAATATATTTGAAATTTCGTTTGTTTTATTGTTGGATGTGTCATCCCGTGTGTGTTCTCTCGATCGCTCTCTCTTTTTTGAGAAGGGGATGTGTGTTCTCATTCGTTCGTTCTGCACTAGCAGAGGAATTATTCGTGCTCGGGTATTCTGATAAGCGTGAGCATCAAGCAGGGAGCTTTGTCTTTGTCTTGCCCCTTTCTCCTTTCGCTGTATTATCAGGAATTCAGGATTTGGTACTTTTAATGGGATTGCAGAGAAGGGAGAATTGATGAACGACTTCACTAATATTGCCTTTTCTCTAGAATTGTTCGCACTTGAAAGATGCTTTTAATGGGATTGCAGAGAAGGGAGAATTGTTTTTAATGGGATTGAAGAAAAAGGGAGAATTGATGAGCAACTTCACTAACACTGCCTTTTCTCTAGAATTGTTCGCACTTGAGAGATGCATGTGTAGTGTGTGTGGGGTTTTGCTAACACGCGATCGCTGCCGGCGCCCGCGCCCGGCCCACAAGGCCCACGCACGCGCGAGATTTTTTTTTTCTCTAACCAATTTCTAACGCCGGTTTTTACGTTTTTTCTTCCGCGTTTTTTCATTTGGCGTTTCTTTTCGCTTTTTTTTTGCGCTTTTTTTTTAATCTTTTAGCACACATGTTTTTTCAAATGTTTTGAGTTGAAAGTTTTTAAATATTGACTTAAAAATTTTCAAATTTGGCCTTGAGATTTTCAAATATCAAGTGAAAATTTTCGAATCTGAGTTGAAAGTTTTCAAATTTTTCAAATCTGGACTTGAAAGTTTTCGAACCTCGAGTTGAAAATTTTTAAATCTCGAGTTGAAAATTTTCAAATCTCAAATTGAAAGTTTTCAAAATTTTCAAATCCGAACTTGAAAGTTTTCGAATCTTGAGTTGAAAGTTTTCAAATCTCGAGTTGAAAATTTTCAAATCTCAAGTTAAAAGTTTTCAAAATTTTCAAATCCAGACTTGAAAGTTTTCGAATCTCGATTCTCGAGTTGAAAGTTTTCAAATCTGAGTTGAAAGTTTTCAAATCTCGAATTGAAAGTTTTTGAATCTGAGTTGAAAGTTTTTAAAATTTGAAACTTAAATCAAAAGTTTTCAAATCTAACTTAAATTTTTTTCAATTTCTTACTAAAAATATCTCTCAAAAAATCTTCAGAATCTTTCCTAATTACTACTAGTATCATTAGTGTTAAGTGTTAACTAGTAGATTAATAGATAATAGATGTAGTTAAACCTTACGAAAAAGTACGAATTACCCCCCCCCCCCGAACTATCGCGATCGTCCGAATTACCCCCCTGAACCACAAAACCGGACATTCTTCACCCCCAACTATGCAAACCGGACGAATTACCCCCCTCGATCCAATCCGCGGTGGTTTTGGTCTACGTGGCAGTCCAGTCAGCATTTTATTTTTTTTAAAATGGTGGGACCCACATGTCATACCCCCTCTATCTCTCTTCCTCTATCTCTCTCTTCCTAATCTCTCTCGGTCTCTCTCTCGTCATCTCGTGGTGGAGGATGCACGCCGCCGCGCGGTGTGAGACGAGGAGGGGGAACCGGACGGCGGCGTCCAGGGCGGCCAGGGAAGCGGCGGCGGCGTCCAGGGTGGGTGGGGGAAGCGGCGGCGTCAGGGCGGGCTAGGGCAGCGGCGGCGGCGGCGACGGCGGTGTCCAGGGTAGGTTGGGGAAGCGGCGGCGCTGGCGGCGTCCAGGGCGGGCGGGGAAGCGGCGGCGATGACGGCGCCCTCCAGGTCGAACGAGGGCATCAGCGGCGGTGCCCTCCATGGCAGGCGGGGGAAGTGACGACGGCGGCGGTGCCCTCCAAGGCAGGCAGGGGACCCGGCGGCGGCGGGAGCAGCGGCGGGCACGGCGAGGAGCGGGCGCTCGTGCGCGGGCCGGCCGCCTCGCCTCGCCTCGCCGCCGCCTCATTCCCCGCTGCTTGCCTCCTCCGCCGCCGCCGCGCTCGCCTCCTCCGCCGCACCTCGCCGCCGCTCGCCTCCTCTGCCGCCGCCGCCTCCTCCCTCCTCCGCCGCTTGCCTCTTCCGCCGCCGCTCGCCGCCTCATCCCTCGCCGCCGTTGCCGCTCGCCGCCTCATCCCCCGCCGCGGCCTCATCCCTTGTCGCCGCTGCCGCTCGCCGCCTCATCCCCCGCCGCCGCTCGCCGCGCCCCGCCTGCCGCTGTGAATCGTGAGAGAGTGAGAGAAGAGAGAGAGGAAGAGTGAGAGAAGAGAAGAGAAAGGAAAAGTGTATGACAGGTGGGGCCCACCTATTTTCTAATAAATAAATTGCTGACTGGACTGCCACGTGTACGCCACGTAGACCAAAACCACCGCGGATTGGGTTGAGGGGGGTAATTCGTCCGGTTTGCATAGTTGGGGGTGAAGAATGTCCGGTTTTGTGGTTTAGGGGGTAATTCGGACGGCCGTGATAGTTCGGGAGGTAATTCGTACTTTTTCCTAAACCTTAGGGGAGGTGCTCGCTAGCAGCGCGTACGCGCTAGCTAGGAGCCCCCGTGTGCGTGGCAATGGAAGTGTACCATTTTAACGAGGAAAGGAAATCTAGTGAACAGAAAGAGGTTTTTACCCGTTTAGCTTTCTTCTCGGTTTTGAACAATTATATACTCTGTTTCTTTTTGTTCACTAACGAACTTTTATATATATCCTGTTGGACAAATTCATGGGCTAGCCTGATCCTAGCTCGACCTAGCCATGCTGGACCAATGGTGGGTCAGCCGGACCCTAATTCAGCCCGTAGAGCCGACTCGAAGTCCAAAAAAGGCCCAAAACTAGTTAGTGAAACAGTAATAAGAATAAGTTCACTAGCCTGCCTCAGCTTCAAGTTGAGTCTGTATGACATCCCTCGTCCCAAATACCAGAAATCTTCACCACTAAACTATATAAAACTATGCAATTTAAGTCCTAACAGTATGGATCATTGGTTACGCTGATGTGACATCCTAGTCAGCAAAAAGAAATTAAAAAAATTATGAAGCCCACATGTAAGTAAGAAGGAAAAAATGTGGGATCCACATGACCACATCTTTTTTTTTTCTCTCTTTTCTTCTTCTCTTTTCTCTTATGTTTTCTTTCTACTCCTCTATTCTCTTCTCTTCTCTTCTTAAGCGAGACGGGGAGGCCGGCGGCGGTAGAGGACGAGCGGCGGCGGGTGAAGCACTTCATGGTGGCAGCCCGCCCCGTCAAGGACTTCTGCCCCGCGCGGAGACGACGGGTGGGGCAACGCACTGCTCACCTACCCAGCGATCCGCAACACGACGGTGCTCGCCGTCGAGGCCAACCCGTGGAAGGGCATCAACTTCAGCGTGCCTTTCCCATCCCACTTGCACCCGACCTCCAACGCCCATGTGCTCCGGTGGCAGGACCGGATGCGGCGACGCGACCGCCGCTGGCTTTGGGCATTCACCGGTTCGCCGCGGCTCAGGAGCACCAAGACCGTGCGCGCCCGGATCATTGAGTAGTTCACCGTGTCGCCATCCTGCACCCACTTCGGTAGCTCGCCATGGCAGTACAACTTGCCAGGGCGGATCATGGTTCATGGAGCTGCTCGAGTCCGCAGAGTTCTGTATCCAGCAACGTGGCGACTCCTACACCCGCAAGTCAACATTTGACCTCATTCTCGTCGGTTGCATCCCGGTGTTCCTTCACCCAGCATCGACGTACACCCAATACACGTGGCACCTCCCTCGCTGCGGGGCCCGTGGAGGCGTTCTCCGTCGCCACGTCCACAGCAGCAACAGCTAACCGCGCTGACATGTGGGGCTCACTGTATGCCATGTCAGCGTGTTAAGAGAAAGATAGGGTCAATATTATATCAGGACCTTTTATTCACGGCTTATGGTTTGTGATAGTTAATAGGTAGAGATTTCTAGTATTACGGATTGTGAACCTTAGACAAACTCGACCTAAAGTTATAGGGGCGTCAGGTGAACTTATTCTACGGTAATATTGAGGAGTGCTAATAAAAATATTATAATTACAAAATACATTGAATGGAATATTATATTTACAAAATACATTGAATGGTTTTTTTGGTTATTTTTCTTTTGTGGAAAACCATTTTTGGAGGAAATTAAGCTCAAAATTGCAATGAAGTTCTGTGATTACGGGTTGGCTGTTGAATTATTCAATAATAATGTTCTCACAAAAAGAATGAGGGGAAAGGGAAAAGAAAAAACTCTCTGCAAAATTACATTTCCGATCATCGAATTACATACTCAAAATACGCCATTAATTACTCGCTCCTCTTCTCTTCTCCGACTCCTCCCCTCGCCGACTCGTCGCGCCGCCGGCGAGACGACCCTTCCGCCGCCTTGCTGGACTTGCCCTCGTCGTCTCCCTTCCACCCGGCTCCGGGCACGAACAGCGACAGGAGCCTCGCCACGGCGTTCCGCACGGCGCCGGCGTCGTGGGCGCTCCCCTCCCTGACGCGCACGGACGCCACCGCGCTCGTCACGTGCCTCAGCCTGTGCGACATGAGGATCTCGAGGCGGACGTGCTCCGGCAGCCGCAGCGCGAACCGCTCCATCCCGCCGCCGCCGCGCTCGTGCCCCGTCGAGTTCGACCGCGGGAGAGCCTGCCGCCCCGCCGCGCGACGGACCCCCGCGAGGCACTGGATCCTGATCCTCTCTTCCGCTTCCGCCTCCTCGCTGGCGCCGGCGTCGCCGATCACCACCACCGTCTCGTGAGCCGGCGGCGGCGACGCCGTGTCCTGCTCCAGCGAAGGCGGGGGAGGGGGCGGCGGCGGCGGCGCGTCGAGGACGTTGGCGCGGCAGAGCGGGCAGGTGACGTGCTTCTCGAGCCAGAGGCCGATGCACTCGGGATGGAACGCGTGCGGGCACGCCGGGAGGAGGCGGAGGGCGTCGTCGTCTTCGAACTCGAGGAGGCACACCGCGCACTCCAGCGGGTCGCCCCGCGCGTCCCCGATCCGGTGCCGCCTGGCGTCGCGGTACGACACCAGCGGCAGCGCCGCGATCTCCGCGGCGTCGAGCCCCGCCCTGTTGCCGCCCCCTCCCCCCCGGCGGGACCACTCCGACGACGACGTGTCCGCCAGCGCGGGCTCGCCGTCGTCGTCGTCGAGCGGCCGGAACAGGCGGAGGCACGCGAACGCGAGGAGGACGATGAACACGGGGAAGAAGACGGCCATGAAGAAGGAGATGCTGATCACGTCGGAGAAACTCAGGGAGTCGCCGCCAGATCGAGGCGGCGACGACGGCGCGGCGGCCACGGGCGCGATGGCCAGCAAAACGAAGGCGGCGACGTTGGCGGCGGCGACGCCCATGACGACGCCGCGCCGCCTTTGCTAGGGTTTGGGGGGGCAAGAACCCGCGGGTGTTGGTTGGGTGGAGTGGGCTTTTTCGATCGGGTCGGCTTGCTCGCTCGTCTTCCATTTAGAGGCCAAGCCATTGCGTGAGGGATACTCCAGATCAGAGCTGCTTCCGTTACACGTTTTCAGATTTGTGCGCTTTCAAGTTTGCAGCCTGTTCGTATTTACTACCAGTTTTAGCCTCCTTCGGAATTCGATTTTTGGGGGAGTATTTTAATGTGGCCCTTACAACTTTGGAAAATAAACGTGCATGCTAATATAGTACTCCCTCCGTTTCACAACGTAAGACTTTCTAGCATTGCCCATATACATATAGATGTTATCGATCGAGCATGGTACCGATGGACGATTGCACGTTAAGAATGAGCTGGTTCATCAATGAACAGATTACCTATTTGGGAGTATTTATACATTTATCGTCAAATTTTAACTACTGATGTAAATATAGTATAATTGTAATATAATTACAGTGTAACTTGTATATAACTTTCAGAAATCCTTGGGACATGCTAATTCCGTGAAAACGGAGGTAATAATGGTACCGAATCTCCTCTCATGTATGTGTTGTGATTTTTTTTCTACCTCTCTTGCATGAATTTTAAAGAAAATCGAACGGTTCAAAATTATATTGTAAGTTATATGTAAATTACAATGCAATTACACTACGATTGTACTATATTTACACATGTTAAAATTTTAGAAAAAAAATTATCGACAAATATGAAGTGGAATTGTGCCATAATATGTCAGAGATTTGAACTATGGTGGAAATTCACGACAGATGTGCAATACTCCTCAAGTTGCATACAAGATGTTCTTCATTGGGAAAGAAAAGGCCGCCTGCGGCGAATTCCTTTGGAAACCGAAGATACTAGCCCGATGCAAGTTTTTTTTTTTTGTATGTTCTTAGCAATAAGGGGCATCTATTTAATTTCGTTCCGACAATCTGGATCGCTGTGGCCGACAAAGCCAAGATGTGCGCCCTCTATGGACATATATTTTCATCCCTCAAGAAAATGTCCCCTCGCTGTTTGAATGTTATTGTTACCTATCTGGTTATAAAAAAAATATTTTTTTTGGATAACATAGATTAATATGAAATGGCATAACAAGCGGCTGGCTTGGCTGGACCGACCGATGCCGCTCTTTGATTAAACTTGCATATACATGTGTATAGGTTTGTGCATGTTGTAGAGTGTTTACGGCCGTTTTGAAACCTATGTAGATCTGTGACCACAATCTGTACGTAGAATCGGCGTGTGCTTTATGTAATTTCATTCCTAAATCTTAATGCATTTAGCCGATGTCCTATCGCTAGCCTAGCGAAAAAGATTACATATTAATTCTTTTCTTATTTCATGGTGCACACCCACACATCACTACACAAGTAACACCAGACACACGCAGTCGCAAATACACTAACTCACGCACAAATAAATGAAGACCAACATCATATCGCTTTAGTCTCACTATAAGATCCTACTAAAGCCAACCTACACGTGTGTAATTGAGTATAACTCTGGGGCTTTGCACCATCCCTACGGTGCACACAGTCATTTTAGTAACTGTTTAGTTTATTATGGTGTTAGATCAGAGTAGACATGATAACTTAAGAGCATCTTCAACAGTCTCTCTAAATTTGACTCTCCAAATGTCTATTTGGCCAACTCTCCATTCAATTTAGCAAGTCAAATTGTCTTTTACCCCAACAGCCTCTCCATTCGTCCTCTCTATTCTGAGTCTATGACAATTGGGTCCACATGTCAGCCTCTACACCTCCTTCTTCTCCCTCATCTTTCTCCCCTTCTCTCCAAACCCCCCTTCCCTCTCCCATCCGTCGCTGCCGCCCATCCCCATCCCCACCGCCGCTCGCGAGGAGGTGACGCAAGGAGGCGGGCGGCCACGCGCGGTGCTGCCGTGACGCGGGGAGGCGGGAGGCGAGACGCCGGCGGCTCGCGACGACGACCTCGACGCCGCTCGGGGCAGAGCTCGGCGGCGGCGGCAGCGGCGGGCGACGACCTCGACGGCGGATCTAGAGGGGGCGGCGGCGGAGCTCGGCGGGACGGTGGCCGGCCGCGCGACGACGGGGCGGCGGTGGCTGGCCGCAGCGACGAGAGGGCGGCGGCGCCCTCGTCACGGTGCGTGCCGCACTGCAGCGTGGAGAGAGAGGGTGGGAACAGGCGTGGGTCCCACATATAGCTAGCTGGCTTTGGCTGGCCAACTTTAGCTAGTCTGGTGGGGAATTTAGCCAGCCTAATGGCTTGGAGAGGTATTTGGCTAGTTTGTTGTAGTAGATTTTTTTGTGTAAGTTAGCCAAATTTTAACTTGGAGAGCCATTTGGTTAGGCTCTTGGAGATGCTCGGCCAATGCTAGTGATCCTGGGCTAATTAAACTAATCAAATTGGTAGGTGACGTCACCCGACATATATATAATGATCCAATTTCTTCTCTTTGGTCCATCAAATTAGCAGCACATTTAGTTGGTTTTCTCTCTAGCTTCTTCTTCACATAAGCAAACCAAGAACAAACAGGAATAATCCTAGAATCCTAGAAGGCTTAAGACTTGGACACATCACTTTCTGAATAGCTCTGAACTGGTTTGGTGAGTGTATATATGTCGACCTCTAGTGACACTCGGTTTGTTGGCTAGCAGCATAGCAGCAGAGCGTTCCTTTTACCTCAACCGATCAAATTTTAATATTTTATATCATAAACCTTTCAAAATTATCTGCCAATTGTGCGCGTGAGGGGTTGTTTGGTTTGCTCTCAAAGTTTGCCAAAGGTTGCCACATCTCATGCTAGGTAAGTTTGACCAAGTTAGCATATTGTTTGGTTCATAGCCACACTTGTGGCAAGATTCCTTCTCATCTATTGGAGCCCCACATGTCATCAACTCACTAAAGTGTGGCACAATCCAATTTTGCTAGCTAAGGTGTGGCTCACTTTTTATAAGCCACAACTTAGACAAGTGTAGCATAAAAAGTATGGTGAATGGTGGCATGAAAAGTATAGCATCCAAACAGCCCCTATAGCAAAACTTCCGTACGCGTCCTAAGGGCACCCACAATGGTTATCTATAGGCTCTCTATAAGAGATCCATATCAGCATATTTTCCTATTTGGAAGAGATTAAATGAAGAGAGAGAGCAAAGCTATCTACTAACCTGGAGATAGTCTATAGAGAAAAACGAGGCAATGTATTAGAGAGCTATAGATACCCATGTAGACATACTATTGAGATGGTTTACTATTAATCTAGTCTATTGCTGAGATGTACATGTTTTATAGATAACACATTACTTTACCATTGCGGGTGCTCTAAGAGGCAACTTGGCATCCTCATGTTCAGGTCAACATTGACTACTGTCAGTTTAAGAGTATAGGACTACTTGTGAGACTACGAATAAATAATGAGATGCAATTAATGTCACACCTGAGTTATGCTGCGTATGATGTGCTGATTAGTAATTAGCATCCTAGAAGGCTAGAACAAGCAAGTTTTAAGTACGATCTTTGCAATTGCAACGAACACAACACAAAAATATAGTAGGAATATAAGGTAAAAATCAACTCCAGCTCAAGGTTCATTTCTTCATATATCTGACATGTAAGATGCAATCTCTCTTTGGGTGTTCACAACTGTACAGGATACCGAGTTCACAATCGATTTCAGTAAATATTTTTGTTTTGTATTTCTTTTTACCCCCGAGATGATCACAACGGCAGCATCGAGCTAGAAGTGCGGCCATGCCGCGAGGGGAGAGATCGCCGGCCTCCGCCGCCGGAGAAAGACCTCCTCATGTGGTGCAAGCGGCCGGAGCCCGACGGCGCCTTGCCGCAGCAGGCAGAGTCACCGCCGCTCCCCTGTTTCTCTTTGCTGCTCTGCGTCGTCGTCTGCTCGTCTTCAGGAGCATCCTCGGATGGCGCCGGTGGCGAGCGCGAGCCCATGGAGGCTACTCGCCGGAAACTCTGCGCGCTGCGCGGGTCGGGACTCCGGCGCGGCGGCTCCGGCGAGCTGGGCTGGTCGCGCCGATCGATTTGTACCCGGAGCTCGTGCTGCTCCCCCTGCTGCTGTTGACCAGGGTTTTCTTGGTCCGCGGTTTGATCGGTGGGGCTCGAGGCTTGGTCGGTGGCTGCGCCGCCGCCGCCGCCGCCGCCGCCGTTAGCGCCGGCGGGTGGCGGGACGCGTTCCCCGTCCCCGGCGTCGGCGTCGGCGTCGGCGGGGTGCAGGACGTGGGCGCGGCAGAGCGGGCAGTTGACGTGGGCGCGGAGCCAGGCGTCGATGCAGGGGACGTGGAACGCGTGGCCGCACTTGGGGAGGAGGCGGAGGAGCTCGCCGTCGCGGAACTCGCCGAGGCAGACGGGGCAGTCGGTGGCGCCGAGCATGCCGGCGCCGGCGCGGTACCGCGCGAGGGCGATGGACTCGATCGCCGCCTCGTCGAGCCCGACGGTGCGGATGTGCCACGCGTGGTGCAGCACCTCCCCCTCCCCCTCCCCCTCCCCGGCGCCGCCCACCGCCCCGTCGCCGGCGGCGACCGGCGCACCCGGTGCGCCGCCTCCTCCAGCCGCATCAGAAGGGGGAGGTGCTAGAAGCGCCTCACGCCGCGCCCGCTGCTGGCGCCTGCGGCGGATGAAGCAGTAGACGGAGAAGGCGAGGAGGATGGCGAAGAGCAGGGACGCGGTGGTGGCGAGCGCGATCACCACGCGGCGGTGGTCACGCGAGTGGGGAGGAGGAGGAGGAGGAGGAGAGGGACAGTCGTAGCAGGCGCCATCGGAGCCCGGTTTCGGCGGCTCGGGGACCGGCGGTTTCGGCGGATCGGGGAAGGGTTTCGCCATCAAGAGAGAGATGAAGGGAAGCTAGGAGGAGTAGTAAAAATGTAAAACCAGAGAGAGAAGAAGAAGAACGAGGCGTGTTGAGGTAGAAAAGCGAAGGAGGGATTAGGGGGGAGTGGGTGGTGAGGCGGCGTCAGGCGGTGAAGTCATGTGTCGCGGTGAAGTCAAGTGTCGCGTGGAGAAAAACGGAGCGCGGGGTGGCGTCACCACGCCGCGTTTTTGCCTCTTCCTCCCGGCCGTTTTCGGTTGGCTTTTCGTGCGGTCAGCTCAGCTCGGTTGGGACTTGGGAGGGTTGGTGAGCGTGGACGGCCGCCGGTCGGTCCACGCTCACCCTGACAAGGCCGCGAATCTTTTTTTTTTTTAATACGCGAGGGGCGCATTATTATATTAAGAAGGAATAAAAGTATTTACAGAGCGGACCGAAAAAATCAAAAAACACGAAGGGGACAAGATACAGGAGGGAGGAGGAGGAAGAAAAGCCTAATCTCTCAACGAATGTGGCGACCTTCCACCCGACATAGGGGTCGCCATGGCCGGTATCGCGGCTCTAGCCAACCGCCAAAGGTCTGCTTCGTCCGTCATGGCCCTAGCAATTTCCGCTCATGTCCTGCTCTTTTGGTTGAAGACCCGATTGTTTCTTTCTTTTCAAACCGTCCACGCCACCAAAGTTGCAATGGTGTCGAACCCTCGACGATGTTCCTTGGCCATTCTTTTGCGACTGTCACACAACCAGGAGTGAAAAGAGTGCTCATTGAGAGGCAGACACTCAGAATGACCAATAGCTGAAAGAGCAATCCACCATAGCTGATGAGACTCCGAGCAAGCAACCAATAAGTGATCAATCATCTCATCGCATTGATCACAAAGAGGGCAACAAGCCGGGTGTGACGGCCCTCGACTCCGAAGACGATCCGCTGTCCAACAACGATTCAGTGCGACCAGCCACAAAAAGTACCAACAGCGCGGGGGCGCTAGAGACTTCCAAATTGGCTTGTGCTCGAGGCTGGTTCTTCCTGCGAAGAAAAGACGATACGCCAAGCGAGCGGAGTAAGACCCCGAGCTTTCCCAACGCCAAGAGATCGTGTCCGGTTCCTCACCTAGCTAAACCAATCGCAGAATGTCCCAAAGCTTGAGATATTCCAGGATTGCCTGAATCCCCAATGCCGAACAGATGTCTCGAATCCACCTCTTGTCTTGCAAAGCCTCAGCTACCGTTCGTCTGTTCCGGAACCGAGCGGGAACAGCTGCGTAGACCGCGGGCGCCAGCGACCGAATTGAAGAGCCCTGTAGGCAATAATCCTCCTAGAACCGTACCAACTTCCCATCGCCCACTGAGCAAACCAAAGAAACCGAGACAAGGTTATGTTCCTTGCCACGGCTTATCCGGCGAGGTTCTTTGAGAGCTTATTATTGCCCCCGTTTAAGTTTAGCTTTGCTTAAGAGGATGATTAAATACCGGGCATGTAAAAAAAATATTAATACTTGATTAATTGAAATTTAGTTATTTTAAAATTGAAAAATGTATCTGATATTTTTAAGTAACTTCTATATAGAAAGTTTTCGCATGAAATATATACCGTTTGATAGTTTGAAAAGCATGTTAATAAAAACTAAGATGAAATCAGTATCTTAATAAAAAAAATAACAGGGGCCGTATGTATTAGCAGTAGTCAGTACAACATTTTTAGCTCAGACTAGCATCAGTCGAATAGTCGATGTTCATATTCCAGCGAGAAAAAGGCAGCCAAACACAAGAACAGATCGCTTGACAAAGACTCTGGCAGCATATGCGTAGTGCAAGAAATAATGTAAGGATCCAAAGGCTTCCCAGAACAAAAATTCTTTCAATATTGGGAGTTAGATTCATACTAGTATTGCCTTGGATCTCAGTCGATATTTTTATCGCCAGTCTTCTCAATTCAGGTAAGGCTGGAGTCTGTACCCGCTAGGGAGCAGTTTATGTGTGTGTATATATTTACAGTAATAACCCAGTTGTGTGGCTGTGGATTACAACAAATAAAGGGATACTTTTATTACGCCCATCTTTCAACCTACTGTCAGCTAAAAAAAAATTGGTTCACCACGAACATATGTTGTAGCATAATTTGACAAACTCCATCACATAAGATTGTCGTGGATTAGAATGTGAACCTGAGTCCGATTGGCCTAATGCTCCCCTTTGGCACCATTGCTGCCCGTCTGATGGCTAGCTTGGCCATTGGCCAATCCATATACATGCCCCATCTTTGTTCTCTTTGTTTCCAGGTATCTCCGATTCTCTGAGGTGATTGGAGTTACCAAGGGAACCCTGCCCACAATGCTCAATCCATAACCCTTGAGACCACCATACTTTGCTGGGTTATTAGTCATCAACTTCATTGAACGGACCCCCAGATCACGTAATATCTACAAAGCAACAGTACAAATGTCAATCCATTGAACAAATGAAATGAATGCATGGTAATTCTTAAATTGTCTCCATGAAATTGTTGGCAGCATCAAATTCATGACAAGAAAGGAAAGCGCTAAGCAAGGCGGCCAAGTCCATTAAAGTAGAAAATATATTTTGGTTCAGTTGGGAATAATTTTTTATTTCATCTACACTTGTTGGTTGTATGCATCAGATTCTGAACATATGCCTTTACAGCCCCTCAGGCCTCAACGTAAGCAAGTTGAAACATATGCTATGAACAGATATATAAACCACATGGTTCTTTATTAAGCTGGTGTACAAGGCTATAAGCAGGGTATGACATTTTGTTTTCTATGGCCCTGTTTAGATCCCACCCCAAAATTTTTCACCCCGTCACATTGAACATTTGAATACCTGCATGAAGTATTAAATATAGGCTAAAAAAATAATTAATTGCACAGATTGCAACTAATTTGCGAGACGAATCTTTTAAGCCTAATTGCTCCATGATTTGACTACATGGTGCTACAGTAAACATTTGCTAATGACGGATTAATTAGACTTAATAAATTCGTCTCGCGGTTTACTGATGGATTCTGTAATTAGTTTTTTTATTAGTGCCCAAACACCCCATGCAACACCCTATATAATATCTGATGTGACACACCAAAACTTTAAACCCTTGGATCTAAACACCCCCTATATTCGAATGCCGTATGATACCATGAATTCCTTACCTGTGCACCAATGCCATATTCCCGTGAATCCACAGGCAGTCCTAGGTCTTCATTAGCCTCCACAGTGTCGCGCCCGTCATCTTGCAGGTTATAAGCACGGAGCTTGTGACCGAGACCAATACCCCTCCCTTCATGTCCACGAAGATAAACTAGTACACCCCTTCCAGCCTTCTCAATCATCTCCATTGCCATGGCAAGCTGATCACCACAATCACATCTTGCTGATCCAAAAATGTCCCCTGTGAGGCATTCGGAGTGCACCCTCACTAAAACGCCTTGACCATCTCCAATCTCCCCCTGTCAGTGATTGGATGAGTAACTTAAAAGTCAGGCTTATGACAAGAAAAAAAAAACTGATTCAGCAGCTAATTCCAACACAAGTATTTTATAATATTTCAGCAACTTACTTTCACCATTGCAATATGCTCTATCCCATCAATAACAGATCTGTAGCAGTAAGCGCGGACATTACCCCATCTCAAAGGTAAGCGTGCAACAGATGAACGTTCAACTAGCCTGTCTCTTTTTCTCCTATATCTGCAGAACAGAAAGATAAGAACTCTCAGAGTCTCAGTACACTAATTGGCATGTCAATAATCATTTCAAGGGCATAGAGGAATATCAAATAGCAGGGCAGGCACAGTTGCAACCCAGGGGCTACTACAATCAACACAATTCGAGATTAGTTTGTGTTATTATCTAGGATAACAGATACGATGGCAATACTAATTGCAAGAAGAATCTTTTATTACTAATTCCATGACATATGTGTTCACACCAATAGATAGGACATCACGACAATTTCAAGGAGAAAAATAATAGCATTTATATCTCAGGGAAGTTAGAGCGTATATATGTTCCCACTGATAGCAACTACTCATGATTAATAGGCCAAATTGGCCTATATTATAACAGTTTAAATGATAAAGTTATTGATATATATCCTGGTTGCACATGCAGTATTAGGAGCTCAGGTTTGTGTACTAGACTCACCTAATCAAGTCAGCAATGGATACAATCTTCAAATTCTCCCTTTCAGCAAACACGCGCAGCTTTGGTAGGCGAGCCATGGACCCATCCTCATCCACAATCTCACATAAGACCGCAGCAGGAGGTAACCCAGCTAACATAGCAAGATCTACAGATGCTTCAGTATGTCCAGCTCGTTTCAGAACACCACCCTCTCTGTATTTCAGAGGGAAAATATGACCAGGCCGATTGAAGTCTTCAGGCTTAGAGTCAGGGGATGCAAGAGTCATAACTGTCTTTGCCCTATCCTTTGCAGATACCCCAGTTGTTGTTCCCTCTTTAGCATCCTATAAGCCAAAAGCAGATGAATTTCATCTCAGTAGCTCAAACAAATCATCAAAACAAATTTGTTCAACACAAACTCACAAGGCAGGATGTTTACTCTTTCATTATGAAATGGAGTAACTAAACTAGTAAGTAGGCTGTATCTGTTCCGTTGATTTGAAAATTTTCTAAAGAACACAAGTTTTTCCTTAGGTTAAATACTGTTGGTCAGCATTTGATATGCATAACAATGATGAAAGGAGCAATAGCCAAGTTTTAGACGCCTTAACACCAAACTCATCATGAGTTTCTCTGGAAGCCTCCATAGTGAGTGTTAGGAATGATTACACTCTATTATGGCAATTTACTTTCAGAACTCAGATCTAAGATGGAAAACAAGTAATATTTTAGTAAAGTCAAATCACTGGTTTAATACAACTTTGTTTTTTACCCTTTTTTTTGTTAGAAAGCTGTGTGCAAAAGGAAATGCACACCTCATGCCGTCACATCATTAATATTTAAAACTAAAAATGTGAAGAACAATTTTTATGAGTTACATTTTGGCCTTTTGCAGAGGAAACCAATGGTAAAGTGAATAAGCATACGTATGCATGCATTTGACAGTTAAGCAAAATTTGATATCCATAGAAATTCATAACATACTATTCTAGTGCTGGCAAAAGAAAGAGAATAAGAATGGCAGCATACCACTGTAACAGTGAATGCAGTACAGAGCTTCTCCTCATTTTCCTTTGTTGCAACCATCAAAGGAAGGTTCAATCTTTCAAGATCCTCTTCTTTCATGCTAACACACACTATTCCTGTGCCATATCTTACAACAAACGCCATGGCCTCTGGGGTAACCAAAGAAGCAGCCATTATAAGATCTCCCTCATTTTCTCTTGATTCATCGTCAACAACAATCACAAGCTACAAGAGCAACCTGGTGTCAGGAGAATTCCATAGAGCAGAAACGGACAAGATATGAAATGAGTAAAAGGTTAGCATATACTGACTTTTCCTTGTTGAATATCTTTGATGGCCTCGGAAATAGACGAGAAGCCCTCAGTTGGGCTATCCAAATCTTGTTCAGTGTCTTTGTCCTCATCTGAGAACATGTCCGCAACACATTTCAAACCAGCATTACTGATTTCTGGCACGATGATGGATTCCGTTGGGAGTACAGAGTCAGCAGTTGGATAGTCCTGGCCACGAACAGAAGTGCTCTTTGGTAACACCGTGTTATCATTCCCTGAGTAACCGTCGCCTGGAAAAGCACCATCCCTTTTCAATGATGCTGCTACCCTCAAGCCCGTAAATTTCACATTGGCATTATTTGAATTCGCAACGGGTGAGAAGGAAATTGATCCCTTTGCTTCCTTGGAGACTGCACCGCCTTTCACGAACTGCACCCTGCATTTACACAAACAGAAGTGAGTAGAATCAATCAGATTCAGCAATTAATATATATAAACTCTTATTTTAAGTACCCCTATATATTCTCATTAAAAAGGAATGAGTAAAACTAGTATATTTTACAGTCATTCCTCAAAGGTTCTTACGACCGGATTTCAACTGTATTATGTAGTTCGCTCAACAGCTCGCTCGTTACTAATTCACTTCAAACAGATTCTGACATGAAACTAGTGTACCAGTCGTCAAATCAACCAAAACACTAAAAGAAAAAAGTGAGGCCTTAGCAAAAGGCATAATCGAGCCGGAAAGAATCCGGAAGTGTAACCAGCTCCAAAGGCAGCGGGCAAGCACAATCAAGGCGTAGCAGCGAGAGAGAGAGGAAGCAGAGAACTCACGGGTGGCCGCGGAGGGCGGCGACCGATGAAGACGTCGGCGAAATCGACGCCATCCCGATGCTTCCCTTCCGACGGAAGGAGCAGGCCTGCAATCAAACGCCGGAGAGCACCAAAAAAATCAGCAAACCGCACATCACCATCCCCGAACCACTCAAAAATTTCCAACCCAGCAACGCTAAGATCTGGAACATCCCGGCCGAAACAGGGGGGCACCCGGGGACGACGAGCTCCCTGATCTCGAGCCCTCCACCCACAAGAGGCCGAACCCAACCCGACACGTCGCGAGA